TCTGCTGACAACCAACCCACCAACAAACAAACAGATAAAGGTGAAAACATGAGCGGCGGAGGTGATAAAATGCGGCCTCCATCTTGAAGCTGTGAGCCTGTGGTGGTTTTCTGGTTAAGTCATGCTGCTGCTGGCTGATAAACACAATCTCAAGTGAAGGTGGAAAGCTCATGAGATTAGAGAAGTGACTCAGCAACATAGATTAGTATCTATCTTTCAGACTTTAAATCACCTAAAGGGTAAAGAAATGACAGAAGTCTGAGATCATCTTTCATTGTCCTGTGGAGAAAGACGAGAGCAAGATGAGACAATGGAAAAACTGTTGATGTTTCTGTTTGTAAAAAATATGTTCCGTATGAGAGTGGTTCCACTAATGCAGAAATTCATATGATATGGAAACCAATCATTTTTAAAAGTGTAGTTTTTTAATCACACCTTATATGATATGATATTCCATAGAATGAGCATCGTTTACTGTTTAAGTTTTTCATGAGACAATTCTTGTAGGCTAATATATAATGCGGAGACATTTCTGAGAACACATCCTGTATGAAGTGGCTTTTTTGTCCGCGCATTACCACAGCTTGAAAGACATCAGCAGGTCTCAGCAAAGACAGTATGTTGCATGGGCCACTGAGCAGTGGGAAGAGCGTCGAGCTTCCTGAGAAGCTTGTGAAACATTTTTAGATGTTACCGCACTGTGTGAACGATCAGATAAGATCTGATTACTTAACAGATGTATTTAGTCACACACACACACACACACACAATTACATCTATACTGATCTGTTTTCTCTAGCCCTTCCACCGCCGTAACATTGTAAATGTCCAAATAGTTGTACAGATAAAGGATTCTCTATCTCAAGATTTGGTTCAAGAGTTCAGATATAACCCCACTTTCAAACTCTTTATTCCCCAAATATATATTTTGTGTAGCCTAAAGTCTGTATCTCTGCTCAGTTGTTGAGTATCTATGAGATCAAAAAGATATGGTGATCGCATGGCATTCAGAAATTGGGATATGCAATTGAATCAAGGTGGGGTTTGGGAAGGCCACTCAGTGCAGCGCAGGTTGTCATGACTCAGAGTTCGAAAACCCCTGTGGAGTATGTAAATATATCTTTATAAATCTCTATACATGTGTAGCTTACTCTGAAATTCAAGTTAGATGCTAAACTGCATGCCATTGTCTCAGAACTCAATAAAGATACATCTTTAATCTAATACTGTATTTCCTGATTTTTACTCATCCAGAAGCTTCCCAAAGGTTTCTACAACATTATGATAATTCATTTCATGGGTGTATTAACAAAAGAGGATCTGCACACAATGGGAATTAAAGCATAACCTTGTCAACTTTAATATTAAACATGTACAGTTAGAGCTAGAAGACACGATAAAACAAAGAAGAGAAGCAGAAAACAGTGTACATACAGTATATATATAAAAGAAAATATTACAAAAACAAAATCCACCTTAACTTAAATCTATCTTCCTTGGTGTTATTAGAAGGTGAGTGGTTCAATTGGTTTAATCTTGTAGAACAACAGAGTTTCTTTTCTCTGGAACTAAAGAAAACATCTAGTGTATTGGAGCAGTCCTGAGAAGGTGTACTCTTGGCATATTTATATATAGGTGTGTGTGTGTGTGTGTGTGTGTGTGTGTGTGTGTGTGTTTGTGTATAAATGTGAGGACCTTTAATCATGGGGTATTGAGGAGTTCTGTCCAGAGTACAAGTTCTGTCGTTATTCCAGAAAAATAAATTCACCTCAAGAAACAAAGGCCACTGAGCAGCCTCCAGTATGTACATAAAATATGCATTTCCATCAAAAACAGACAGGCAATATTTACTGTGTTGAAGGTATAAGGTTTGTCCCTTTAGCAGTTTGCTCTAAATGCAGGTAGATTAAAAAACTAAAAATAACTGAGTAATCTAAGAGTTATTAAAGAATACTACAGGGAAAGGAGTCCTACGTCAACCGTGCGCATAGTACTATCATCCTTATATGAAAATAAAACATGACAACTCTGGGAAAGTTTTAATAAAGGTTAGACTGTGTGGCACCGTGTGCTGCTTTCTAAATGTGAATTGGCTCAGACCTGGACTCTATTCTGATTGACAGCTAAGGGGAAATATTCTATTGTCTGCAGGAGCATTTGAATTTGAATATCTGAAGTCAGAGACAAAGTTATGGCTGAATTGGCAAACATCTCTGAACAGCTGCCTTTGTGGGAAATCAAGGAGAAAGAGAGAAATATTTAAACTTTTCCTTGGTTGTTTTACCAAAAGTGAAAATATCACAATAATCTGGACAGTGGGGTTCAGGTCTATGACAACATCCAGCACTTACATCACAATATGAAACATCTTTGTAATCGCTGTAACCTGTTAAGTTGTAGACACCGATGAGGCTTTTGCATAATATCTTCTATTTAAATAAGAAACACACACTGCACTGACACTATCCAGGCTGCTGTCACACAAATCTCCTTTCTCCTGTCTGTATGACCTCAGACATAGCATTCAACACCACACACCTGTCGCTTCACAGGGGATCCCATCTCAAGGCCCAGGCACACCAGCATTTAAAAAACAGAAACATTTAGTTTGAGGGTGAAGTTTTGTCTGCTCCACTGGCCAATCACCTGTTACCTCTAATGAAACCATCTGTATGAGATAATAGTCGATGAGACAAATAAGTGTTATTATAAATTATTATTTCACTTATCTACATATTTTATAATGGAGCAACTCACTAGTAATGGGACAATAAGGTCCATTGGCAAACACATTCTTATATTCACAAGTATCACCCATCAACTGACAACTTTGCTGGCTAACACATGAAACCTTAATGAAAGTAGTGATGCAAAACCCAGAGAATGAAATGTGAAGAGGAAGTAGAGTAAGGCTAGCATGTTGACAGCTGGCTCGTGTCTTATTATTCAGTTCAACAGCTAATTAACCGATGAGCTGTTACCAAGACACACAGATCCATTAAACTGAGCCACTGTGAGTGTGACCTGGGCCTCCCTTCCACCTGACTTCTTCCTCCCCCGCTGACGCTCAGTTACCCTGCCTTCACTCACATACTGAACCCTCTGTCTTCTCCGAACACACTCTCCCCAAGCTCCTTGTGACTGAATGTCTGAGTGTGTCTCCTCTTGTATAACATATTTGAGAACAATAAAAAAGATGGCATTGAGGAGGGAGATAGTACATCTATCCATCTACGAATATCTAGAGAATGTACAACTACTACATGTGTACAAATGGCTATGCATGGTCCCTGCCATGTGTTCACTGTACTCTCAGAGGAAATCGGGCTTCTCCTCTTTGTCAGGAAATATAGGAAAATAGACTTTCACAGACACATGCATTCCTCAAGAAAATGAAAACGATTCCGCAAACATGGTAAAACCCTGCAGAGAGATAAGCATGTGGGAGATTGTGGGCATTGATATATCTAAGTGTGTGTAAATGTTAAATGCAACACAGAGGAATGTTATGGAATGAGCTGAATATATATATCTGAAAGTGTGTGTGATTGTGTGTTTATGTTCTGAGGGCCACAGTAGACATGAGGAAGAGGAAGAAGAGAAAATGAGGTTGTGTAAAACTGAAGGAACAGGCCATGGCTCTCTCTTCAAAAGATTTTCCCCTTCTTCTTGTTCTTTTCCATCGTCCTGTGTGACAAACAGAGTAAACACAGAGAACATTACGTCAAGTCAATTCAAAAGACATGATTCACTGTGAACCATCAAGAGTTATATAAGCAAATCCATATATTCGGTAGCCGTGTGCCGGATTTACCCTTTTTTAAAAAATTTTTTTTTTACAGTAGTCATTTTTGTTGTTACAGCAGGAAAACACAGGTGTTACTCGTAACGTTAACCATGAAGAGAGATTAGTGGATTATCCAGCTATCATGGGGCTTATTAAAGGTTTTCTAATATCATGAAACTGACTGAATCACCATGACAACCTAGGCTGCACAGATAACCTGTTTGGGAGATGATCAACCTCTGAGGTTAAGATAAGAACCTGCACACATACTCCTGACCAATCAGATAACAGGGGAAACTGTGTCAGGATCCTGACACGGACAAAAGGGTTCCTCATAAAGTGACGAATCATAAAGAGCAAAAGCTATTTTTTGTAGGTCAATGAATCTGTTCAGGCTCTAATAAACTGAAAGACAGTGAACAACTACATCATGTCTTTCTTTCATCCTGCGGTGTGTTCCTGGTGATTCTGAGATGCTTTTACACTCTTCAGCTACCTCCACGCTACTATGAATAAGTTTGGAAATGCATGTACGCTGCTACGGATACACCTGGGGTCCACTCTACTCTGGAGTTTCAGAGCTGCTAAAACTGAGTAGTCTGGATACACTGCTGGCAACATTTTAGTTTACAGTCACAACTGTATGCTGATTGGGTCGTCGTGGATTAGTCAGGCTCCTATCACACGACTTCCTTCTGGAAGAAAATGACCGGTATTATCTTCAACTACCAGTGTAGAGCACAAAATGGATTACAAGTGTTATTGACCCTGTTATCTTTGCTAACAGTTGTTCTGCTGTTAAATTCTGCATTTTACGATGATACAACTGTTTACATGAGTATGTTATTATTGTAGGACCATTCCTGTGTCCTAAGGGACGCGTATGCCCAGTAACGTGAGTATTCATTTGATATGCATTTTCAGCTGTGTTAGCATGGACGGGGATTAAAACCGAAAGAGACAAAACACTGTTTTCAAACTAAAACAAAGTATTTTGAATGTAGCCTTACTCCATCACTCTGAGGCAACACAAAGACCTAATCAGACTTGAACTGCCTTTCTCCTGCTCTCTCCAGCACCTCTGTTCTAGCAGAGCACGTTCAGAGTTGTTTAATTATCAACAGACAAAAATACTCACTCTATTTCACAGACATACAGGATGGAGTATTGTTTGCCCTTTTGACAGCTTTAGCCTTACTAACTATTTGCAGAATGAAAAGTGTAGAACAGCGTATGTGTGTTACTGACTTTGAGGCATCCAGTTTCTGCTGCTCGAGGATTCGCTGCTGAGCCTCCCAGTTGACCTTCTCATCCTCAAACACTCGTCTCTTCTCCTCCAGCTCTTTGTACTGCGCCTCCAAGTTCCTCTTCATCTGTTCGTGCCGTCGCTCGAGCTGCGGGGCACAAATTTCACACATTCACTCTGTGCCACTCATTTGTTCACTTATATATATCCTTCAACTGATAAAGACTTGATGAAGATGCAGTTTAAAGCTAAAGCTAGTAAGTGGACATTGTTTTAATTTCTTTTTGTCAACCACTGTTGTGCATGAACACTAACAGAGAGCTTCACCCTAACCCCTGAGCATGCTCAACTATTTGTGAACTGTAAACCCGATCAGTTTGCTACTGCTGAGTGTGGACATGAGCATCGTTCACTCTGAATAGTGTTCACGTTTCACGGCACCGTAAAATGAAAGATTTGATCTCACCCAAACAATTTTTGGTAAGATATTTTTAATTCACATCGCCTGTGAAATCATGCAGATGTAGCCCAAAACCTTGAGCAATCAATTGCACATCTGAACATTATCTGTGCAACATTGTTTTATAATGAAGTGAAGCAGAGTGGCGTTAGAGGTTTTAGTAAGAACCGCTGTAAACCGGGACATTGGATTGGCGAATTTACCTGAGTTATGGACTAAAACAAAACTTACAGTAACAAAAGACCAGAGTTAAGACACAATCTATGTTTGCCGCTCTTGGATTTGAAATAAATTTCCTTCTGTTATTTTACAGCTGCTGGTTCAGTGAGTGTTGAAATCTGTGGAGTCTGAGCTTGTGTGTTAGCATGATGTAGCATGTTTGTCAGTACCTGCTTTGTGCATGTGAATAGTTTGTGTGTTCTGTGGACATGCTCATTTAGTGTCTTGCTGTTTGAGTTGTGTTTGGTTTCAATGAAAATGGTTGCTCTTGGAGTTTTGATATCTCCATACTGTTTATTTCTCATCTCACATCGTCCGTGTATTTAATGTCCACCGGCAACCCAGTGGGTTTCAAAAGGTTAAAAAAAAAAAATTGTGCTCATTTGTCGGAATGTTAAATTGTAAGTAGTGAACCATAAATGTGAACTAGTTAATTTAATGAACTGAACTTTGAGTGAGCTCTTTTTAAGTGAGAACTTAAACAAGACTGCTAATAACCACAGCTCCAGGTTCTTTAATAAGGCATTTTATGTCTGTACCTACACTTTAATATTAGTACATTCATGCCGCTGCTTCACTGAGCCAGAGAAACACACAAAATCTCAAACCCACCTCAGCCTCCGAATCCTTCAGTTTCTGCTTCTTCTCCTTCACCTTCATTTCGAACACCTGTTCCATCTCTGCCTCCATCTTTTTCATTTTCATCACGTGCTCCCTCCGCTCCTCCTCCATCTGTGCCAAGGGACTCCTGTTGATCACGGAAATTAGGTAACTAGTGGCCAATGTAGCTTATCAAGGCTGCTAGCTCTGCAGTAACCTCTTTCTGCTTCTGCTGTCTTGTCCTCCACGGTCACTGAGAAGTGCACCACTGCCAAGAGGCAGGGAAACGCAGACTGGATCCACAGAATCGGTAACAGGGTCAATGCTAAGCAGGTCAGTATCAGCCAGACGTAGCTGATCCACAATGAAAATTGCTTCCTCACTAAGGTTAGAATAAAATTCAGTGTGTCTGCCTCATTCAGTCACAGTGAGCCGTATAATCAGATTTTATCTACAAGGCAATCTTTATTAAAAAGGATCCCAATGAGCTGCACATAGTGCTTTGTGCAGATTATAAACTTTGTAATACATAAAATGGATGGTAGGTAATTGGTAATACCCTGAGTTGAGGCATCAGAATCTACTAAATACTATTAAAGAAAGAGAGGTTTCCTCCATCTTACGAAGCAAGGGTCTGATGATGTACATTTTAAATGGGCTATAGTACTTTTCTAGATGACCATTCAAAGTGCTTTAAAGTACAATGTATTGCCATTCACACACATATTCATGAAATGCATCTTTGTGCAGCACTTCCTATGGGAAGATTTACGACACTATGAAATTAATGATGGCACATAATACGAAAGAACAAGCTCAGAACTGCTTCACTCAAAGATTTTTGGTCCTGACCTGCGTCAGTTTTCAGGTCGAACAGGGCAACGGGTGAAATATTTGGTGTGTTTAAAAACCAGGAGAGCCAGAACGTACTTTGTGAGCTGTCCCTTGGTCTTGGAAGTGTCCACTCCATTACAAGTGACGGCAGCGAGTTTCTTACTGCGATAATTCTCGTAGTGGACATTGTTGGTAACATCCTTCAGATCCTGCATATGGGTTCTATGGAAAGGAGCAGAAATGAATCAGGAACATTAATCCAGAAAGCATATCTGTTCGAGTACACAATAAACCTACTAAGCAGTAAATCCAACTTTGACTATTGTTCAGAAGCATTTGAGAGGGTATAATTAATCTCAAATCTGTCTGTCTGTCTGTGGAACACATATCTCGAGAACCGGGAACGTTGATATCAACTTCTTCAAACTTGGGCTGTGAATCGTTGAGCCCAAGGAAGTGTAGTATAAAATTTGATGCGATTTTTCTCGATATGTTCAATAATAATACAATTACAAGCAGACCATTCCAAACCGCCATTTGATGTCAAAAGTTGAGAGTTCGGTAGATCAAGAGAAGCAGAGCACCGTCTCACCTTATGAGCATGTTGCGGAGCACGGTGAAATCGCAGTGTTCGCCATTCTCCACTGAAACACACAGGGATAGAGAGGAAAACAGAGAGGGAGGAACAGAGACACACACACACATCACAATTACTACACATGAACACTTTTCACAGTAACAATCATAATAATTATTAACTAGTCTCAAGAGAAACTGCAATAAAAATGCATTGCATGAATGAATGAGTGAGCTTCTACAGATATTTGTACAGACTGTCCTACAGGTGCGACATAACTGAAATGAACTTTGGTAAATGGCGATCAGTTGCTTGGGTACATATCTGGTGTTCATGTACAGAGGCAGTCCCAGCTAAAACACACATTATTATGTTTTGGGTGAGTAAAATCAATACAACTGTAGTGTGTGTTATTCACATGATTACACATAATATAGTAATACAGACAAAGGATCCAAAATTATAGGCAAAACACCATCCATCTCAAATTAATGTTATTAATCCCAATACATACATTATCATAGTATGTAAAGTTCATTCATGCATCAGTTATAAAAGGAAGGGGGAGACGCTGAGAGCCAGGTGTATCCAGCTGTAGCTCATGTTTAGATGTACAACAATAGCAGTTGTAGTAGCACATTGACAGAATACAGTAAAGGGCAAAGAGACGTCAGGCCATGATCACTTAGGATGGTTTTATTATGAGCCATTCAAATGGGATTCAATACGTCTTTCAAAAAGCTGACAAGATAAACGAGTCCCTACTGTTTAAATTCAGATCCTTAACTCTGCCTTCAGGAGCAAACAACTCCACTGCCAACCTTTACTGCACTGCTATTTTCACAACCACTTCCTCTGCTATTTAGACACGCTGAGTCAAACTGTATGTTCTCTGGAATAGACTAGACTACAATACACTGGAAAACCTTTGAGATTCTAAGCAATAAAACATTTAACTGCTCACTTCAATGCCCTCACAGATTGTACTGCTACAGCCCTGTTCGGTCTACAGCTATTACCTTCGTTTTAGCGGATTTTAAATATTGTCGCACAACTATGAATTTATAAGCTGAATTCCTTTTTCTTCTTTAAGGCGACATTTTTGCCATATCCTATTTCAGCACGTCATAGGCCCCGCCCTGCTTCTGTAAACAATATTAATGAGACAGAGGAGGAAAGTTGGGTCCATGAACTAAAATAATAAACAGAAAAGTGAAAAAATGTCTCTTAATTCCTGTGAGTGAGCGCTTTCACCTAACGCAGAAAACAAATTTAAAATACCTTGAAGTAATTCAACTTTCATATCTTCTTTACAATAGAAAAAAACAAACAAACAACAGAATAGCACTCAGTAGAGCCCATACCTCCTCCGAGGCCCAAAGGTCCCTTTATGAAACCCGCTTTAAATTCACTTGATCCATGATTTACTTTTCTGAGAAATCAATGAAAATGATGACCCCTGAGTAATCTTGCTTACACACCAACCGACCAACTAAACAGACAGACGGGGCGAAAACTAAACCTCCATGGTGTAGGTAACTGAACAGTACGGTGGAGTCTCTCTTGAAAAAGCTTCACTTAGAGAGAGTAGTAGATTCTATTTACAATTTTTCAAGAGCTACAATAATTACCCATGTTGCCTGCCACTTTGTGGCAAGAACAGAACTGAGCAACAAGAATAATGATCCGTTGATTCCCTCTTAACTCCTGTTCTGTGACACTATGAAGCCTCATAGCTGAGTTTTGTGTTGGAGCCCAAGGAAAAAAACGCCTCCTATCTGATCACAGCCTGTTACTGTTGAGCACACTGACGCCACACAGTTAGAACAAACAGGAGTTCTTGGTCAGACGACAGCAAACACCACTGGTCTTTTTTCAACATAGTACAGTTAGATGATTGTGAGTCTTCGTCTCGACAGCACAGACACGGTTACATGGTCAGATGGGATTCTGGAAAAGAACTGCAAATACTGCTGTTGAGGACGTGTGTGGCGGATGTCCAGCCTGCTCTCCATCAAATATGCTGCTCCTTATTGGTTAGCCTCCATCCTTCATCATGAGGGGAGCGAATAAGGAGGACACCTTACCATTGATGAAACTTAAGCAGTCCTGCCCCATGGCATCCAAAGCCAGCCATTGACCTCCTGTCTCTTCTAGAGGAGGGAGCTCTGACGGAGGGGAGGGGTATGGTTTTTCAGTTACTGCTTGTGCCTGGTGGTGGGGGCTAAATCTGGGTCTGGAGCAGCTGAGTATATCATGGCTCAGACTTGGCCCAGTTTGGACCCCAAACCAGCCCGTGTTTGGCCCAGATTCAGCCCAGATCAACACCATTGCCTGCATGTGTCCAAGCTAACTGTCTAAAGAGGCTTGCAGAGGGAGTGTGGTTATTGGAGGGGTGTTACATGAGGATCTATGCATGACCAGCTGTGGAAAGTCTCAACGAGGGAACGAGTTGAGGAGCTAAGTGGGGTCAAGGGTCATAGGACAAAAGTGAGTCATAACAAACAGTAGACAGATCTTAGTGGTTGATGAATGGCAGAAAATACCTGATGCATACTTTAGTGTTAACCCATGTCACCTCAGTTTATCATCCGTCAATCAGTCAGACATGGACATGAATGGAAAACGATCTTTGTCCATCAGGTGTTTTGAGCCTGAGTTCTTTATATTCACTAGCAGTGTTTATTAAGGCCATGATGATGAACTGCGCTGGTTTAATGGATCAAGCTGTTCACTGAAACATGCAACAACGTGTGTTTGTGTGTGCGCGCACAGGATTTCTTTCGCAAACGCCATGTTTCTACATAAAAAGTCTGACGTAAAAAAATCCAAGTGTGCTAATGGTTGAGAATTCATGATACCAAGCCATGTGTTATCTTGATGTCTTAAATGAGCCGCTACATGCTCTTATGCATAACGTAAACCTTAACTGCACATGAACCTATAAGCAATGTGTTAGGATGGTGGATCCCAGTCCTTGGTCCAGTGATACACTGAGGCCTGCACACCTTTCTCACCCTGCACCAACACAATGGATTCAAACTAGACAGGGAGCTGAATCATGTGGTGAATCAGGACTGAGAGTAAACTGCTGGTTTTCATACCATAGGAGCAAAGAAGGGAACCACAGCATTAGATTGATGTTTCTATTGCAGCTGTAGCTTCAGCACCAAACAGCCTCTAGTTTCCTCCATGACTATTCACAGCATCAGACCTGGGACAAAATAACTGTGTGTTTAAAGCACATGAGTTTTACATGTCCAGACAAGAATCCTGTCAAGTTAATATCATCAAATGCACTTTACATGGTAATTCCTATTTACTGCATGTTTTGCCATCAAGATTATTAGTAATAATCATAATTATACTCTCCATGTTAATGTGCTGAGATCTGGGAAGAGTGTGATTTTAGTTTTAAGTTATTTATCCTGTATTTATCCAGAAAGGCTCCAGTGAGATACTATATTTCTTCTGCCTGGGAGTCCTGGTCAAGATGGTCAGCAATCTAGTAAAAAGGTTTTAAATATAAATACGAGTGATTTTATGAAAATATCTGATGGAGCCAAAATACTACAGTGTGATAACTGTCATACACATGCGACTATATCAGCCCCCTGTGCCAGGACAGTGTTTATGTGTGGGTGGACTTCCTTAGGGGGTCAGACAGGATCAGTGGGTGTCTGTAAGTCAGAGATAATGCTAGGATCTGTGATGTGTTTGCATCTAGCTTTTTTCAGACTAGCTGTTCTCCAGGACAGCTTCACTTTCCTTCCTGGGATATGCAACATGAGTTTCTTTTTTTGGGGAAGGGGACTTTTAACCTATCTTCTATCTGGTTTTTCTACTGTGTATGTTGCACTGGTTGAGGGGGAAACAAGATCCATGCACATCTTGCAGGATTCTCCATTTGTTGGAATCTTGATATTTGTTCCCAGATATCAGTAATTACTGTGGTGAGTGCAGTATTAATGCACCAGAGATAAATGACAAAAGCATGAAAATAAGACTCAAAATGTGAAGTGAGGTTTTCAAAGGATAGTCTTCTAGGTTGACTTTCAAATTAAGTGATAAGAACCAAGACAACAAAAATAATTATTCATGTGTCCCACTACTGGATAATCTTTTATGGAGTGAGAAAGCAATGCAACAGGGATTTGCTTTGGTGCAGCCTGGTTCATCTTTAAGACTAAGATATGGACGAGGCTTTGACTTTTTAAAATTAAACTTGTCAGTGACCTCTTGTGGACGAATCAATTTCTGTTACGAACTACAATTAGCTGATAATGTATGGAGTGTCTGAGTCAAGATTTGCTGCACTGACACTGATAATTAACCTGTAAAATATAAGAAAAGAAATAAATACTAATGATTATCATTAGAATGTTAATATAAATGTTAAGTCTTCTTATTTCTTACCCATTTCATTGAGGGGCTCATTCAGCATTCATACAAGTATAAGAATATCTGGGCATACTCTATCAGGGACACATGAATAACGTTAGTGTCTTACGTTCTTCATTTATTATATTAAATATGATATGTTCACACTTGTGTGATGTATTCACGTTCTTCTTCTTCTTTGTTTTCCTGTTTCTAAAATATGGTGCATTCAAGTGTTTGGAAAGGTTTTAGTTGGTATTTAGCCCAAGTCTGATTAGAGCATTGGTTTGACCATCAGCCTAATGATGAGACAGCACAGCAACAGAAAGGTGGATGGAGAGGAGGGATGGAGAATTTGGGTGGACACTCGAGAGGGAGGAGGAGTGGGAGAGAAAATGAGGTTGAAATAAAGTGAAAGATGGTTTTGTTTACCAAAAATGCCCTCTGTCAGTCATGGAAAAGAATAGACAAAGCAAAAAGAACAAAGAGAGAAAAGAAAGAATGAAAAAGTGAAAGACTGATAAACGGTCAACCACAGAGCAACAGAGGTAAATGACTTTATATAGAGAACGATAGTGCAGATCATCTTTCAGAGGGCTTTCACACACATATGAAAACACCAGAGGGAGCAACAACACTTTCTTGTGACTTATGGAAAAAAAGGTGACAGTCTTATTTCAGCTGGTCAGTGCTCGCTGCCATACTTATACAATAAATCCCATAATGCACTCTGTCTATCCTAGTTTTTCAGTATCTTTATCAGGATTGAGAGCGGCACAGTCAAAAAGACTGTGTGCTTGTATGTGTTGAAGGGAAGAATGGTGGGTGGATGAAGTAACAATGTTATTACTGCCACATAACTCAGATACTTGTCACACTGTGATGACGTTGTTGTTCAGGCACCAAAGATTAATTCCTAAATCCCCTCTCTACTACTGCTATCTAACAAAGTCAAGGGAACAATGAACAACAATGACAACCACATGAATGGTCCAAAATATTGTCACTTTTTTAAAATCACCATCCCATTGACCCTCTCTTTCTGTTGGACTGTGGAGGGTTTAGACAACAACACCCCCCCCCCCCCACACACACACACACACACACACACACACACACAAACACACACCAATTAGACCCCCCCATTTACTGCAGCTTTTCACCAGCAGAGAACTTCATCGGGATGCTACAATGTGGAGGTGGACCATCAGATGATCTTATGTCGTGATCTCAGAGACGTCCAAGTGAACTTCTTTTACCTCACAGGTAGAACTCAACGTCAGTAGTGATTTGGCTCTGCACAGTTGCATCAGTATAGTTATCTGCAAAGGTCGGCAGTTCTTGGGATAATACAAAAAATATATATAAAGCATCAAAAAAGCAGCAAACAATGGAAAGTTGCAACTGAGCCTGTCACATCTGTCTCAGATAAAGCTTCATAAACCTGACACAGAAAAGTAGAACTCAACAAGCACAACCTGAGACATGTGGATACATAAAGCAAGACATTGGTGGTGTGGAAATGATGGACAGTAACCACCAGTGGATGAACCCTTGAACAGGGTTTGATTAACAGATGGGTAATGTTACTGCCAAATCAAGTACCTTCCACAAACTTATTTTATCACCTGAAACACTGCATTCCATCATAGCACAGAGAATTAAACTCCAGCAATTAGAACCAAGCCCAGAAATGATCTATCAGGCATAAACTTACTTCCAGTCCTATATCTGAGTTTGCATGTTGAGAAGTCATTGTACTACCTGGTAGATAAAACATTGAGTGGACACAGGGGGTAGTTGTGGAGAACATACACTGTGTGAGAGTACTGTGACAGATTGCCAATCTCGAAGACATCAAACTCCTGATGCTTCTCTCCAGGATCAGTCACTGTCTGACAAAGGTGCAATGACAATGGTGCATGTAGAGAAAACAAATCCCCAACACTTTCTCATTAAGCTTGAAATATATTCTATAGTTCACATTCTTTTGTCGCTTGGGCACAAATTTACAGTTGTGTTTTCTCTGTTTGGCAGTAGACCTCAGTGAACCTACCTTCTGCCACGCCCCATGGGTACTGGCGACCTCTGACCTTCTTGCCGTTCACCTCAATCACCACGTTGCTGCCGACTACAGCCAGAGGCATCTTCTCCTGGAGTGGGAAGACACAAGTTTTTACCTTCAGCTCCCTGCTGTTCAGATGACTTCACACAACTATCTGACTTAATCTAGTGGATGTGTGAGTTGTGAGACTCATGACAAGTATCCTTCCATTAAAACGTCTGTCTTTAGTGCAGTGGATTATGTGAAGTACAGACTACATGTAAGGCAAGTTAGCCAACTACTGTGGCTGCTAACACACCACAGTGAAAATGCTAGCTTGGAACATGGTAGCACTGGTTAGTCTAAACAAGTATTTTCTTCCAGGACTGCACATTAAGTCGAGAGTTAAATGAGAAAGCTAATTGTTTTAATTGTGAAGAGGTAGCCTTAAAAAGCTACGAGATCTTTCTCCATTTTCGACTCCTTGTCCCCTCAAAGGTCAGAACTATCCAGACAGCCTGCATGTGCACAACCACAAACCAAAGCCCCACCAAGCTTACAACACAAATTATTATTTTCCCCTTGGGATTAACCCACTATCCTTATCAACTGTATTAAAATTACTTTGTTTTACTGCAAAATTTCAAAATGGTGTGACCAAGTTTTAATAATATTAACACAGTCATGTTGACCAACATCAATTTATTGAAAAATTAGTTTCCATTTATGGTGGATATCATGAAGGCAACAGTTATTGGGGCCAAGAGACACTTTGAGAACAATCACTCTTCAATGTGCTTGTCTATAAAGGTAATTATCAGTTTGGATGCCGGGTGGGGGGGGAACGGGACAGAGACAGCTCCAGGGGTTGGATACTGACCAAAGGACGGCCTGACCTTTGGCTGTCTCCGACTCTGTCCGTCTTCCGGCTGTGATCAATCAGAGGCAGGTTTTAAACTACTGGCAAGACTGTGTGTTCCATTACCTTTATCTTTCGGATGAGCTTGTTGTCCTCGTCGTCCTCCGTGTCTGGGAATTCATAAATCTTGATTTTGTGTTCTTGTATCTCTTTCATTATCTGAGGAGGGGGATAAAGTAATCAAATAACACACATAAACATAGGCCTGCATAGATTTGTACCTTGAAAAATAACTTTAATGTCTCTATTAGTATCAAATACCTAGTTTGACTGAATTTGTTTGACATTTTATTTTCAAAACACTTTTGAACTTGCATAAAGGAGTATGCTTTTTCATTAGTTTAAAGGCTTGGCAGTGTCAATAGTTCAAGACCTCTCAAATTTACATAACACATTGTTTCAGGTTTATTTTATCTGTGCACAAACATCAATGTTTAAATGACAAGTTAGGCATTTGAAGAATGTTGTGAACTGGACATTTTGTCAGCGTTTTCAGCCAATTCTAATATTAAGGCTAAGCTAGGCTAAATTAGGCATGAGAGTGGTAGAGATCTTCAGCTAATAAACATATATCTAATAATGTCTAATTAACACTTTGCATCAATAAGCTCTTTGGAAAGTTAAATAAGATGACACATATGACACACATTATCTTATGTGCAATAACAGCAGTACTTATCCCTCTTATGTGATATACACACATACCTGTTTTTTAAAGAGCTGGCACTCTTCAGGGGTCAGAGTGTCGGCTTTTGCAATAAGAGGGATGACATTTACTTTGTCGTGGAGTCTCTTCATGAATTCTATGTCCAATGGTTTCAGACTGAAGGGGAAACAGAAAGAACTGTCAGAACTGCAAGCGGCTGATGACAGGACTCATCAACAAGTCAATGGACGTAATTTTATACACAGCTGATCAATGCTTAGTGAGTTTATCACTGACGAAAAAATGTATTTCATTAATTGAATCTTTTTCTGGGTTAGTTCAGTCAACTGGCAGACTGTCTCTCACCCAGTGCATGCTGGGATAAGTGCTAGGGGCTTTACCTGTGAACAGTAAAAACTGTAATTGAAGGTTGGTGGATGTTATTGAGATTGTCTTTGTATATGAAGAATTCATCTACAGGAGTTATTCCAAAGGAAAAGACCACACAATACTTCCTTCCTGTGTTGCTAAACTGTAAGTCAGTGGGTCACCAGTAGAGGGCCAACCACAACTGTACATTACAGGTAACTTGCAGCAAAGGCAATGAAGCAGACAGAGTGTGACTGACTTGATTTGTTCTTCTGCTGTGGTGACATAGCTTATGACGGTTTGTTTTAGTAATACCTGGTGGGCTCTCCATCTCAGCTGGACTGAGACTGAGAGCCTTGGTCAGGCAGGTTGGTGGGGGCCAATGTGGGCAGTGAGTGGGAGAGTGAGTAGGTGCAGCATAATGGAAGAAAACTGTGCTGGTATCCAGTTGTGCCGATACGAAATAAAGTTATATGCATGCAAAGGATGCTTGTTATTTTGGGGACACGGTTCTGTAACATGTGTGCATGTCTGTGTGTACTTTGTGTTGATAAAGGGGATGAGAGTTACTCATCCCAGGAATGCAGAAACACAAAGAGGGCAAGAAACAGCTGTTCAGTGGTTCACTAGTTCACAGGGACACAGAAAGTGTGTGTGAATGAGCTACTACAGGCTCAGGTCAGGGTGAGTGACTGTGGCCCCAGATAAAACAGGAGTCAGACTGTCTGGTCTGTGGCAGGAGTAGACTTGAGGACCTGCGAAGATACCAACTGCCAAGGCACTTCTGTGATCTTGAAATATTATTCCTTTCAGTGTAAAACGATAAATCATCTGTTCACTGACAGTGATGAATTGGAAGCACCAGTGAGAGACTCACTGTTGGATCTTCGCCCGTCTTCTCCAAAGACAAGCTTGGAAACATACCTTTATGTCTAATGCCAGATTTCAAAGTTTTACAGCCACATGTCTGTGACATTTGGAGTCTGCAACATGCAAACTGTCGATCTGCAGCTGTCGCAGGAGAAACAAAGAGATGAACCAAATGCTTTGAAACTATATAGGTATACTATATAGAGTAGGGGAATGAGTTGGAAGTAGAACTGAGGACATGATGTTCAGGGCGTATGTGCTCATGTGGTATGAATCCTGACCTTTCGGCCGTTGGATCGGGATTTATATGTAACAGTCCAGACGTCAGTGAGGCTCAGACCTGTAGTATCTCCTTCAAACTTTCACTATGGAACGAGTCTGAACTGAATGCTGTCAAATGAATATTAAAATAAGACTGCAAAATCAGGACAGTCATGCCTCACAGTGACAGTGTTAACATGCAAATGATTAGTAGGTATAATTGAACCTTTTGACCTGATGTTGACGGAAAGACAATACAAGTGATTCAAGATTTACATTAAATGTTATTTGTAAAGCGCCAAATTACAACATACATTACTCAAGGCACTTTACAAGACCATACTATATTATAGAGAAACCCAACAGCTGTGGAGAGAGAAAACTCCTTGTACAAAAGATTCAATGTGGAAACAGAGATCCACATTTTAAAGTGTCCCTCATCCCCCTTTTTTCATGAATGGGGGGTGAGGGACACTGCAGGTTGTCAGAGGACAGAGAGAGTCTGTCTGAGAGGAGATGCTTTCCTCTTTTAGCTGCCTTCCCTCTCACTGACACTCTACTGAGCATGAGCAGAAGTGGGTTATATAACCTTTGTGGGTCACAAACACTGGCTGCCAGCTTCCTCATCTATGGCACAGACACTATATGTGCTGCAAGGAGATGGAGCTGAGTGGAAAGGCAGAAAGAGTCAAGCGAACCAAAGACAGGTCTAAGAATCTGCTTTAATGCTACATCAAATGATGTCACTGACTGGAATAAGGGCAACTGAAGCACAGGAGACAGAGTGGAGAGTTTAAATACATTTGTCACAACTATTTTTATATTCAATTTTCTCAATTTGTGATTTCTTGAAATGATCAGACAACCCCCCCCACTAAAAGGGTCAGTGGTTCCAGTATCCATGGGCAAGACACTGAATTTCAAACTGCCAAATGATACCATCATGTGTTCTATTCCATGTATTTACAAGTTGTGTGGTTACAAATAACTAAAACACATTGATTTATACTTGAGGAATACTTACTAAGAAAAGCACTGATACAATTAATGGGACCATCCTCTATTTAATTTTCATTGCAATGCTTTATCATAAAATCCTCTCATCTACTTTTGAGGCAGCTATTCAAATTCCAGGTGATCTTCCCACATCTGATTCAACATAATAAGGCATTGAGGTGTTACTGCTTTAACCCTCATTCATCAGGGCTATCAGTTGCAACACAACGATGAACATCACAACACTGACAGCATCTTAGTTAGAGTCAGTGCCCTACTTAGATCATTCTATTTTTTTTACTCAGTCCCTAATACATCACTCTCAACTAATCGCACTTTCATCACATGCAGTACCTACCCATGTCCAGAGGGTGCAATGAAATAAAGGCAGCAGTGGACTCTGTTGTCGGGCATGGATCTGCGGTTTACCCTCGACTCTGCGTTCAGGAAGTCCTCACACTTACTGTCGATATAGTTTATAACAGGCTGCCAACTGGGAAGATAGGAGGACACAAAGAAGAGGAAGATTTAAAAAAACGATCAGACTGATGCCTGTGACAACCAATGTAATTTCAGTCCCTGCAGGTGTTCCTTCCACATTGCATTCACAATAATATCAGGTCCCTGCGACCTTGACCTTTCTTCTTTCTTTCTTGAGATATCCTGTTCACCAGAATGGGATGGACGGACATGCGGACAGCCACTGCCTGGCACCAGCGTTGAGGCATGAAATCTACTCACCAGTTACTGTTATCCACTGCATCTCCAAAGCCTGGTGTATCCACAATGGTGAGTGTCAGCTGGACCCCTCCTTCCTTGATCAGCACTTTGGATTGCTCCACCTGAATCACAGCAACGGCCACACATTTAAGTACATTTGTTCCTTGCCTTGTTGAAAAGTGACTCAGCACTTTGAAAATACACTTTGGAATACAATTTGGCAACACAAGCAGGCCCACACACGTTGGCCTGCTTGTTTAATTATGTGACACCTTAAGCTCCCACTCAGAGCACTGGTGATAAATCATCACTCTGCACTGGGGATTCAGAGTATTTTTCCTTCCTCGAAACAGCAAAAATTCTGTGTGAATAGTAAATATCCAGTGATGGATGGAGTCCATCTCCTCATTTAACAGGGTGTGCATTCATTCATTAAGTGTAACGCCTCATGGAAACAAACCCTATGACTTGCATGAGGGAGCCAAGTTGAACTACAAAGTGTTTGAAGGAAAGGCCCTAGTCAGCTGTGATATAGGGTCTAATGCTTTAAGACAGGGGTCACCAACCGTTTTGAAACAGAGAGCTACTTCGTGGGTACTGAGTCATATGAAGGGCTACCAGTTTGATACACTCTTCTGAAATAACAACAAATAACCCTTTAGT